GCAGAAGAAGAATCGTGAAGAAATGAAACAAGAGAGACGTCGACGAGAAGATTTTTTTTTTCTTTTTCGATTTTGTTTTGGGATTAATAGATAAAAAAAAGTGTGGTCTTATTTGATTTGATATATAAAGGTTCGGTTTTGTTCTGTAATAATTTGATATTTTATTTTGGTAAGGAATGGTGGAGAGAAAGACTACACGTGGGTTTAGTTATCTTTGTGAGGATATTAATGAGCCAGCCCTGCCTTTTTGGGCTTATCCATTGGGCCTTTGAAGTCCAACCTTTAATAATTTTATAATATGTTTATTTTATTTATATAATCATAAAGTATTTTATATCATTGTGTTTGATCAATCTTGTAGTTGCTAAAACCATCAATACTTTGAAGTTCGAATTTATAACATCACAAGATGAGTTTTTAAGAATACAATTGTCACAGTTCTCTCAACCCATGAAAATAAATGGGCAATAAAGAAGAGAGGACATTGTGTCTGAAAGTTTCACAGATCCTATCTTACATCTAATAACAACAATATCCCTGCCTGATCCTCGCATAAATTATCCTTTCAGGATTCAAGGGCATACTACACTTTCAGTTATAAAACTGGTTAAAGCTGAAGTAGCTCTCATTAAACTGGCCGCCACCGTTTCTATGCGGAGCTGTTTGGCCCACTGCTGGTTGGTCCGGCTGCCAATAGCCGGACACTGAGTTGAGTTGGGTCACAGACCGGTGAGCCACAGGCGGTTGTAAATTGTTTGTGGCATGGTAGTCAAGGGAGAAACGTCTTGGTTGGTCAGAGGAAGCCCATGATGTTGAATTTGACAGAAGAGAGAGAGCACCATCAATATCTTGAGAAGCACCCATGTGTGAAGAGATTATGACCTTTTCTAAAAAAACCGCATAAAAACAAGCATCATCAAGATCATGAATACAAGAGATGACAATGTACTGGATCTCAAGAGAATATGAAAAGACAAAATCAAACCTTTACTGAATAAATCAGTTCTCGCGGTTTTGGTTTTTGGGTCCAACAATCCAAATCCACAGTTCTTGGTGAACAGCTTATTGGAAGTCTCGGTCTTTGCAGGTTGCAGAATTAACCCTCTTGATGGTATGGGATTTGAACTTGGCCATAGAAACTTTTCCTCACTTTTTGGATGGATAAGTGCAAATCTGTTCCATCCAAAATCCATCTGTTGCTTCCCATCTGCATACACAGAAAAAAAGACAAAAGAATCTCCAATTGTCCATCAATATGCTTGTTGTGAACCCCAAACTACATGAAATTATATGTATCTAGAAAAGGGAAAATTACTATTGCCATATCCAATTTAAGATTTCATATAAGGATTAGAGATACGTTGATAAGTAGTACATACCATATGTCCTCCCAGGATTTGGCTTACGGCGTCTTGCATTGTGATCAGAGAGACGCCGGCGACAGCTACGTTTCTTCTCATCAAACTCAGAGAGACAGTGGAACCTTTGGAGACCAAAACCAACAAAACATTATGATGTGACTAAAGGTTTTGCTAACTGATTTAACCACTTTCTCTATTGAGAAAAACTAGCTTTTACCTGCTGCATTGTTGGCAGAACCGACGTTCTACACCACTCACAACAACTTTCGGATACTTTGAATGGTTTTCACAGATCCTATGTTTCCGATGATAGTCTTTAGCTGATGAGAGATCGAGATTACAGCCTTCAACTTGGCAGAGAGGAGTTTGTAACCTCTGAGAAATGGGTTTGGATCTCTTTACCGGAGAAACAGAAGATGATGCGAGGCTCACTGGAAGTGCTAAACCTTTTGCATTCTCCACTTCCCAAAAGTTCTCAAAGTATGTTCGCTTACCAAGCTTCAAACCAAGAGCCGGATCACCAGAGCCAAAGGAAAGTTCAAGACTTGGAGAAGCATCGATTCCCTTTGCAAACTCTTCACTACTTCCCAGTTCTCCAGGAAGACTTTCACCAGCTTCTGATGTAAAATTGTGTGTTTTCACTTCAGCTGATGAAGAGCTAATAGAAGTTGACTTTGAGCTCTTCGAGAACGCATGAGCTAGGTCAGAACCTGAACCACCACCATTAGCTACTGTAGCAAAGCTGGAAGAATAGAGGGAAGTGCAATCAAACCCATCAATTTCCCACTCCGTTGGTCTAAGCTTTCTAGGAATTTCAGCTGATGAAGTACCAAAAGATATTAAATTTTCCCATTCCCACTGCAACGATGGCTTCGCATTACACTCCATCAGACACTGACCAGCAAATCTGCGAGTATCACGAACTTCATGATAAATGACTAGCAAATGCAGGAAAAGGCATTCAGAAATCGCATAGAGTCATACTTTTTTATCAACTTGAACTTTTGCTCACAAGAAAAAACAGAGAAAAGACCAAAACACTATTCTATGTAAACTATCAGCCAACTTGTACAGAGGAGACCTTAACTCTGGATTATCAAACACATGGAGAACCAAAATGGATTCTTGTTAGAAAGTTACTTATGTATGAAAGAGCATAATATAGATCCTAATGACAACTAGAACATAATACTTGGTCTCCTTCTCTAACTCTACTAGAAACCAGAACATGATGCCTCAATTCCAACATACCACAAGAAGAAGAAAAAGTGAAAAAGACAACAGATTTACTTAATAGAAAACAGCTTCTTTAGTTTAGTGATTCCATCATCTCAAGAACGATTTCTCGAGCACAAAAAAATGCAAAACTGTGATAAGCCGTGAAGGTTACAGATTGGGGTTTAGATAAAGTTTCCTAGGTTCTCTATGACAAAATCCTATGGTTATTCTGGTTCTGGTTTGTACTTTTGTTCTCTGATTTGCTCAAATCTCTATCCTATTCATCCTTTTTTGATAATAAAGGAGGTATTTGCTTCCTGATCAGTAATCGTATGGTTTAAGAGAAATCAACATACCTCAAAACTAATGGATCTTTTGTAAGGAAATCAACACGCAAAGTTTTCTACAAGCTCTTTAATAAGCAAGCTCCCTGTCTTCCACGATTTACTAAAGCAGCATAGTTTTCTACAAGGAAATCAACACGCAAAGTCAAGGGTAATAAAGCACACATAAAACTTCAACCAGCAAAGTACTCTTTGCCTAGGAGAAATTCCTCATTTATCTTTGTCTATCATTTCCCATGAAAAATATTTGCAGAGATATATGGAAGGACGAAATCAAGAGATCACAGAGATACCAACATACCTACCTCAAAACTTATGGATCTTTGTAAGGTGAAACCAAGAGGAAAGAAGAAGGAGAAATTTGTAAGTAATATTTTCTTATCTGATTTTTTTTTTTTTTGAGTGGGCAAGTTTCCATCACAATTTCATCCACATTTATAACAACACCAACAAAAGATACCCTCAATTCTCATCACAAACTTTTGTGTTCTCACCAATAATTCACATTCATTAGATTGTGGGGGCGAAGTCCTTGAAGAAGTAGGACCCTCCTTCACCATTTCTTTATCAAAAAGCTGTTTACAGATGCGGATTTTAACTACCCATCTGTCAAAATCATCCCTTTAATATTACATTCCGTAACATTTGTCTAATCCTTCAACCTACCAAAGGTTTCAAGATTTCTCAACACATCTGAGATCGATGCTAGAACCATGAAACCAATTCTAGAAAAGTTGGATTTTTTTTTCTTTAGGTTATTATATAAACCCTTAACACTACTGTTTTGGGATTGAGATCCATAGGGCTAAATTGGAAAAGAGCAAACTTTTGTTAGGTTAGTAGGGTTTTAGATTCATCAATAGATGCAAAGTAATGGTCACTATCTCTCTCTGATTTTGATGCTATGTATTTTGTATGTAGTGAAAAGAGAACTGGAAATAAAGAAAAAC